GGGATTAGAACCAACGCCCATATGGGATCCCGGGCGTGCAAGGCGAGGACTTGAACTACTGTGCCATTGCGCCGGGCCCAATGGGCACTGGTTCTAATCCCAGCTGCTCCACTTCCCATCCAGCTCCCTGCCTGTGGCCTGGGACAGCAGTTGAGGAAGGCCCATAGCCTTGGGACCCAGGACGAGCATGGGAGACCTGGAAGAAGCTCCTGGCTTTGGATTGGCTCAGCTCTGGTTGTTGTGGCCACTTGGGGAATGAATCAGTCAGTAGATGTTCTCTTCCCTGTTTTCATCATAAATCTGCTTCTCAAATAAAAATAAAGCAAGTCTTAAAAAGAACATGGAGAGGGTCCGGCGCGGTGGCGCAAGTGGTTAAGGTCCTCGCCTTGCATGCCCGGGATCCCATATGTGCGCCGGTTCTAATCCCGACAGCCCTGCTTCCCTTCCAGCTCCCTGCTTGTAGCCTGGGAAAGCAGTCGAGGACGGCCCAAAGCTTTGGGACCCTGCACCCGCGTGGGAGACCCGGAAGAGGCTCCTGGCTTAGGATCGGGGAGTGAAACATCGGACGGAAGATCTTCCTCTCTGTCTCTCCTCTCTGTATATCCGCCTTTCCAATAAAAATAAAATAAATCTTTCAAAAAAAAAAGAGTGAACAATAAGAATGAACAATAAGGATACACATTCTTTATAAAGATAGCAAGATAAAGTTATATTGGCAGTTGTGATCATCTAAAATGTCAGTGCTCCCCAAATGAATTTATGCATTCATTACAATCCCATAGAGGTTTTAGAGAAAGTTGAAAAACTTATCCTTTGCTCCAACCAGCAGAGCCAGTAACGTGGACAGGGAGAGGGTCTGGGGATGGAGCACTGACAGGAGACCAGTTATGCTAAGTGTTTTTAGCCGCAAGCCCAGTTCCTATTCCTGCCCAGGCCAATGAGTGCTAATCAATTCCTTAGCCCACAACAGGTCCCCCTTTTTTGTTTTAAAGCAGACTTGAATGCGCCTGTGTTAGGTTGTGGACTCTCAGGTCATCAGCCTTACCTGTCATTGGGAATCTCTGTAGCATGACCGAGTCCCTGTCTTAGGTTAGTCAGAGCCTGGTCCATCTTACCTGTTGTCAGGAGCCGTGTACTATAGCTACACTGAAGCCATTTTGAATATAGAACTATGGGCCAGTGGAAAATCCCCAGCTGGCTAGATGCTTGGGAAAGAAGTTATGAAACTAATCACACGCTTAGCTTCAATTGTTTCTAGCAACTGTTTTAGAATGTGATTTATGCTGTACCTGCCAACATCTTGTTATTGATTACCTATGCTATTGTTGATCTGCTGGTTACTATGGTTGATATGGTGGCTGCTCAAGAACAATTGGTCTGGAGACCATGGCTTGCATCCTAGTTTCTCCTTTCCTCCCTGAGCCTTAGTTACAGAAGAATATAAAACCCTCAATTAAAATCAGTAAACTGACAGCTTGATCAGACATCCTGTCTTGCTGTCCATTCTTCGTGTCTCTTGTCCCCCAATCTCTCCTAGGTGGTTGCAACCCCCGTTGACTGTCCTGCTGGATGGGACAACCTGTCACTGGCTGCCATTCAATGCGTTGCCTGCTGCAGCTGCACAAACCACACAAACCAAACAGGAAGCTGGCCTGTTCCATGGCTAGGAGTATCTTTAGCTCGATAGCAATGAGCAGATAGCAGCTCCCGGGCTTGGGAAACATTTTGCACTTGCACAGGTGTTACATACATGAAGACACGAGAATGGTGAACAAGAGGCCCTGACCATATCTCACAGCACCTGCTGCTCCTCCGCCAACAATCAACCTGCTGTTACAACATAAGCATGCCCACCCTCACATGTTCATCTATACAGTTCTGTTGTTCCATAGCTCAGGCAGTCAGTTCTACAAACTTGTTCATAGTCTCAGGGGTTGCTGTAGGGTGTCCTAGGGTCACTGCTGCTGTAGTGGTAGCTGCCGACACCAGGGCAACGCTGGCTACAATGGTCGATGTTATGCCAAAGTCTCTTTTACACCTTATCAGTCCAACAGAGGTGTTTCTATTAGCCCTGACTGTCACAGGCAGGATTCCGGGCAGCTGCATGACAACAGCAGTATCACCATTGTCATTCCAACATGCTGGTAAGGTGCAGCTGAGCTCGGTGCAATTCACTTTAGAGACATTTTCTGTATGTAAGAAAAAAAAAAAACAGGGATAACACACGCAGACACGGGTTTAAAATTCAAGGAACTGAGGTTCACCCACATGAGCAAGTCCTCAAGTCCAGAGGAGTGATAGAACTAATAAATTCCATGGGAATAATTGCATCCCTGAAGAAGGGAAAAGGGGGGCATGCCAGAGCATATCCATACCCCACAAAGCTGCCACATAGAAAAGGTGGGTATTTTCCCTGTGGTAATAACAGGGGAATGATAAGAAAAAACATGGGCAGAAATTGAGCTATTTATAAAGGGAGGGCCAGACCCCCAACAGCTGGGGTCGCACACTAGGCAGTCTGGTAGTCTAGTTTAAGGGGAAACTGGCAGGAAATATCGAGACTAGGTGTTCATAGGAAGAAGACAAAAAGGAGGTGTGCTTAATAATGACCCAATATACTTGCTTATCCTGTCAACTTTCCAACTCAAAGGCCATCACCATGGCCAGTACCTGAGTTTTCACAAGACTCAGCAGCAGGAGCTTGCCGGACAAGCCTCTCAGGAATCCACTGTGGAACATTTTCGTTTTCTGGGAAAACACAAACTGATCCTGGTCCCCATATGAGGACAGGATCTGGGCCTTGCCACTGACCAGTCAAGGGATCCTTCCACATCACGTAACCCTTCTGCTTCTGAGATGGATTCCAATGATGACCTGCAGCAGACTGTCCTTCAGCAGCCAATATTAGAAAATTTAAGATAAATAATACAAGGTTGAAATGATCTCGGGGAGTGCTATACTCTCCCTTTTTTTGTTTTAATAAGATAATCCTTAATAGTACGGTTGGTGTGTTCCACAATACCTTGTCCTTGAGGATTATAAGGAATGCCTGTAATTAGTTGTATATGGTGGGAGGCAGCAAAATAAGAAAACTTACTGCTGATATAGCAGGGGCCAATATCAGTTTTAATAACTTTGGGAGTTCCCAATATGGAAAAACATGCATAGCAATGGGCTAGAGCGTGCCTGACTTGTTCCCATGTCTGAGGAGTAGCTAGAATAAATCTAGAGCAAGTATTGTCAGTACCATGTACATTCCTTAGTGTCTCAAACTCTGGGATGTGTGTTACATCCATTTGCAAATAATCTTAATATAATTCAATCAGCTTGATTAACTGTCCCCACAAAATGGAGGATTAATCCGTTGGCATTCTTGAGGCCTTGTAAGAATACCTTGGTAAGCCCTAAAATTAGAAATTTTTGAATTCTCAGATGCCTTTTGAAAGATGACTAAAAACATCTGGGCTATGGAAATTTTGGGGGGTTTAATACAATTTTGAAAAAGTTGAAATTCCAAATAATCAAATGGAGAAGTAAGTTGTATTTTGTCTGGGGCTATAGCTAATCTTGCCTCAACTGAAGGGAGAGACGCTGAAATTGCTCCCATAAATCTTTCACAGTTGCACCCAGATTTAATGGCATCAACGGCACAGGCAGCGTAGAGGTCTCTATGCCTGTCCGAAAGAGATTTTTGCTTGGCACACACTCTATGGGTGGAGGATTCTCGGCAAACTCACTTCTGTCCTCGTCCCTTTCCTCCTCCTCAGAAGAGGACCCTGAATCTTCCTTGCACAGTTTCTCCAGACTTTGTCTGATCTAGGGTTTCTTATCCTTTTTTTTTTTTTATCCTGATTTGGGGTCTCCTCTGGCTTCCTATTCCGGCTTGGGGTTCTTTCTTACCTGGTTTGGGGTTCCTTCTTTCTTACCCTGGTTTGCAGTTCCCTTCCCCTTGTTATGGATAATTTTTCAAGGAAGGGTTGCACCTCCACTTGAGGGTATGAAAAAACGTTTTTGACCAAGCGCCAGAGGAAAAAGGTGGCTACAAGGAGAACAAACCATGGGGCTACATCACAGACAATTTCAACGAACTTCTGCGAGGCCTTAAGCTTAGTGCTGGTGCCTTGTGACTGGAGCAGATCTCTGATTTCCTTTATCATCTGCACTTTCTTGAGTTCTTGCCCTATGGTAAATTTTACTTATGCCCCTGCAAAATATTAAATTCTAAGCTTGCCTCTAGATTTCCGGGGTCCCTCAGATTATCCTTCATGCTCCAGGATGGGGAAAAGGTCTGGGGACAAAATCATTAATGCCCCTTTGGAGTTCCAGGGGTCCCTCAGATTGCCCCTCGTGCCCTGGGACAGGGAGAGGGGCTGGGGATGAAGCACTGACAGGAGACCAGTGATGGTGGAAGTCTGCAAAATCTCCCTTTATTGCTCCTTCACCTCTCCTTATATGCTCTTTCCCCTATATCCTCATTTAGCAGGATATTGGATACAGATGAGTCCAATTAGTCTAGGTGGTTTTAGAAACAGGAACAAGCCCAGTTCCTGTTCCTGCCCAGGCTGAGGAGCGCTAATCAACTCCTTAGCCCACAACAATTCTTAGCTGATAGGAAAGGAGAAAGATCCATAAATAGTTAAATCTTAAGGTGTGAAAGTCAGTCTACCAGGATGTATGGAGCCAGGCCCCGGTCAGATAGATCCTCAGTAACCAAAACCAAGGCGTCTTTGCTGCAGGCCACACCTCCCAGGTTTAACATAGGGGTTTTGATTGGCTGTTGCATAGAAATATGTTAATTAGCATGGCTGTTTAAATCTTTAACGAAACCATTTTCACTTAAAAAGCTAAAATGAATTCATTGATAATATTTTAAAATACTGTTTTTACAAAATCTGTTGCTCTCTTTATTTCTCATTGAAACCAGAAAGGATGACTTTATCTCGCCCTCATTGTAAAATGTTTTGGGACGCTGACCCAGCTGAGGCGAGAGAGGAGAAAGTAAGACTATACTTTCAGGGATCATTTCTATAGTTCTTAACTAGAGAAGTCTCTCTGATCGTGTAGAGCACCGGAAACCACGATGAGGAGTTGTAGTATCCTCTCCTGAGCGTGAAGCTGGCCTCCGGTGTCACTTTCTTGTGATTGCCGAGTGCCATTGATGATCGTTCTTCTCTTTCTTTTGGAAGAGCAAGAGGGAGAGGATACATCCTGAGTGGTTTCTCTTGAGATATTGTGTAGTAATAGAATTGACATTTTACGTTTGAGTGCTGTGGCATGGCTCAGCACTGGCTGTTGCTGCATATCCCATTCCTGAACTTCACTTTATCTGCTTCCTCACTCCTCCCTTGGCTGCAAGTAACTCAAAGGTATTAGTCATCACCTTTTCTCTGGCTTCTCACATGGTTTATAGTGTCTAGGTTTTGGACTGTTGACTGTTTTTCCAGGTTACAAGTGGGAAGTTGGCTGGAGGTAGTATAACTGGGAAAGAACTGGTTTCCACCCAGGGTCCATCCCACCCTGCTGAGAGAGGTAGGGTTTAAATGCCATGCTATCGTGCTGGCAAGAGGCAGTTCAGAATCTTTTACACAGCTTAGGACCATGCCAGTGGCCTGTAACATGCATGACATGTATGTTACTCATCCTCAGACCTCTCTGCCTCAGGCCAGCATCCTGCTCTTCCCATACCCAAACAAACCTAGAAGGGGCGAGACAGAGAGAAAGCTCCTCCATTTTCTGGTTCACTCCACAAGTCACTACAAGGACCATAGATGAGCAGTGATGAACCGTCCCAAAGCCAGGAACCAGGGGTCTCTTTGGGGCCTCCCATGTGGGGACAGGGCTGGAAGTGCAATGGAGCATCCGGGACACAAACCTGCACTCGGTGCTTGCAGGTGGAGATTAGCCAGTTTAACCATAATGCCAGTCCTGCTTAAGAGATGTTAACCTGTAATGTAAGAATTTTTCATTCAGCATGAAGAATATGCAGTAACCTTGGAGAACTGAGAGATATATTTTCCTTTACAAAGGATCTGCAGGTGGTACTTTAAAAAGCTTATGGAAAATAGAATTAAAGGTTAAATTTAGAGCTGACGTTGTGACATGGTATGTTGAGCTGCTGCTGGCAATGCTTGTGACCCTTAGCGGAGTGCTGGTTCAAGTCCTGGCTGCTCTCCCGTGGTCCAGCTCCTTGCTAATGTAGTGTGGAAAGCAGCAGCATGTCGTCCAAGTATTTGGGCCATGACACCTATGTAGGACATCTGGATGGAGTCTCTAGCCTGGCTCAGTCCCACTCTTGTGTTCATCTGGGGAATGAACCAGTGGAGTGGTGAAAGATCTCTTTGCCTCTCCCTTTCTGTCATCCTATCTTTCAAGTATTTTAATCTTAACAAAAAAATAAATTTATTTTGACATGAGTATTTTGAATTTAATGGCTATTGAGGATCTTCAAACATTTCATGGGATGCATGATGCATGGATTTCAATTTCTTTCCGCCAAAACAAAGCATCTTTTTAATCTCATTTTCCACATTTGTTTAAAGGTTTGTTTATTTTTATTAGAAAGACAGATGAGATTTATGGAAAGAAGGAGTGACAGTGGTTCACTGGTTCACTCCCCAAATGGCCTCAACGGCTGGAGCTAAGCTGATCTGAAGCCAGGAGCCTGGAGCTTCTTCTGAGTCTCTCACGTGGGTACAGGGTCCCAAGGTTTTGGGCCATCCTTGATCGCTTTGCTGGGCCACAAGCAGGGAGCTGGGTGTACAGCACCCAGGACATGAACTGGTGCCCATATGGGATTCTGGTGCTCGCTAAGTAAGGATTTAGCCATTGAGCCAGAAGACCCAGAGGATGCCCCTAATTTGTGGCGTCAGTCTGGCCAAGCCCTGACTGTTGTGGTCATTTGCGGAGTGAATTAGTGAACGGAGGATCTCTCCTTGTGTAAATCTGCTTTTCCAGTAAATAAAATAAATCTTTAAAAAGAAACGAAGAAGTGGCTTTGGTTCAAAATCGTCCTGACTTTGGCTGGGGCCATGGGTGAGATTCAGCGCCTAGAGCCACCAGGAGCTTCAGCTCACCACCGCAGCTTTGGTGTGGAGAGGTGAAACCCAGGCTCCAACAGATGCAAATTAATAATGGTGATGATGGTGAAATGAGTGAAGAAAGCACACGGAAGGGGCGTGCTTAGGAGCTCTGTAGGATCCCATATGAATGCCAGTTCATGTTCCAGCGGCCCTGCTTCGCATCCAGCTCCCTGCTTATTGCCTAGGAAAGCCAGGGCCTTTGGACCCTGCACCCATGTGGGAGACCCGGAAGAACCTTCTGGCTCCTGGCTTTGGATCAGCACAGCTCTGGCTGTTGCGGCTGCTTGGGGAGTGAATCATTGGATGAAAAATATTCCTTTCTGTCTCTCCTCCTCTCTGTTATCTGATTTTGCAATAAAAAATAATATTATTAGAAAAAAAAAAAAAAGAAATGAAGAAGAGAGCCTGGCATGATAGCGTAGCAGCGGAAGGCCTCGCCTTGAATGCACTTGGATCCCATTTGGGTGCTGGTTCTTATCCTGGGCGTTCCCCGTTTCCTATCCAGCTCCCTGCTTGTGGCCTGGGAAAGCAGTCGAAGATGGACCAAAGCCTTGGATGCTGCACCCATGTAGGAGACCTGGAAGAGGCTTGAGGCTCTTGGCTCCTGGCTTTGGGTCAGCTCAGCTCTGGCTGTTGCAGCTGGTTTGGGGAGTGAATCAGTGGACAGAAGATTTTCCACTCTGTCTTTCTTCCTCTGTCCAGTAAAAAAAATTTTAAATCTTAAAAAAAAAGAAAAAATATAACCCTTAAAAAATGAAACAAAAAAGAAAAGCCATTTCACGCAAAAGCCCCTGGTAAGTCTGAGTACTGTGCTAAACACCTTAAACAGAAACTTCTGGAAAATGATTTCTGTCTTAGATCATGGACAACTATGGCACAGACTGAAGTTCAGAGCTCTGGACCCAAGTGCTGGTTCCAAGCGAGCATGGGCTCTTTCTGCGTGGAAAATGTTGGTTTCTTTACAAAGTTGTTGCAAAGATGAAATGAAATAATGACTACAAGAGCATTACTGAATCCAGCAGCCACTCAAAAAATTTTTTTTTCTGGCTTTCCTGCGTTTTTACCTTGTATGGTGACAAGACCTGGGAACAAGCCGAGCAGGGGGTTGAGTTCCGCATGCCAGACTGACACAGAACTGCTTCTGGCAATTCCAAGTCTGTGAAGTTCCTGCTGGACTGTCAGCGTGTCTGTGACTTTCTCCAGGGATCCCACCTTTCCCTCCAGGTGTGGTCAGCCCGCTGCCATTCTTTCCTGCTGCCTTTGTGCTGTCTGTGCTTGCCCATCGTCATCTCACCATCGCCTTCTTCCTTGGTTCAGAAACCAGGACTGGTTTTCCATTGCCTGGCAGAACTGGAAGCCTAACTCACCTGCCTGGGAGAGCGGCGGGGAGAACCACAGGGGTGTGGGTGGCACAATTCCAGAGTTCTTCCCAAAGCACAAATATCCACCACTTGGACTTGCTCAACTCAGCGCAGCTAGGATTTCAGAGTTTTCCTAGTTTCTTTTTCTCTCCCTCCCATGCCCACCGGGGAAGTTCTATGCCTCTGATGAATATCTTTTTCTTTCCGGTGACTCATCCTACCTCAAGGTTAGCCAGAGGCCCTACCCTAAATCATCTCATTAGCATAAAATCTGGTGTAGTCCAGAGGGGCTTGTTATGCCAAAAGACATTTCTGTAACTCAAGAAATTCCCTGGACATGGAGAGTTCTGTGTCAAGAATGGGGATAAAGAACAAATCATGTTGTCCTTGGGTACCTATGTGGAATTGGTTCTGAGAGAGGAGTTAGATTGGGTAGTAGGCAGTTAGGGTATTCTGGGTCCCCAAGTCATTTTCTCAAATATAAAATCCCCCACCATGTCTTAGATTCACCAGAGCACATCTCTTCCAAGGGACAAGGATGCTATTAACATATCAATTCCCCACCTGAAGTATTGGCCACTACCTCTGGCCATTGTGGGAGGGCCTCAGGCTGATCTCTTTATCATTGAAAGGAGAGCAGGAAGAAGTAATACACATCTGCCTAAGGCCTGGAATGTCCTGTGTCTGGCACCTCTGTGGCCTTTTGTCCCAAGGCCAGGTACCATGGAAACCAGGAATTTTCTTTGTTCATGGAGAAACATCTTTGAGGGAAACCTTTAAAAGGTGCATTCCTCAACATTAATACAGGTTTTTCTTGTCCTCCTGCCACTATGGCAGAGCACTAGGGTTCTTTTTTACTTTTTCTCCTGCCATTATGGCAGGGGGTGAGGGTCCTTTCTATCTCAGAACCCCCTCCCGTCACTAGGACGGGAGTTTCTCTTCTCAGCTTTTCTAATAAATCTTGCTTTAAAACTAAACTGTGTCCGCACGAAAATTCTTCTTTCCTGCGAGACAAGAATTGAGGTTGCTGCCGTATTCAGAGTCAAAAATCCTGTAACAGTTCCAGAACAAGCCTGTGTAATCCTTATATATAAAGACACAGTGTTTGTATATACCACAATCTACCATTCACATTTTTAAAATATTTATTTATTTACTTATTTATTTTATTGGAAAGTCAGATTTACAGAGAGAAGAAAAAACAAAGAGAAAGATCTTCCATCTACCAGTTCACTCCCCAAGTGGCCTCAAGGGCCGGAGCCAAGCCGATCCAAAGCCAGGATCCAGGAGTTTCATTGGGACTCCCACGTAGGTGCAGGGTCCCAAGGCTTTGGGCCGTTCCTCAACTGCCTTTCCAGGCCACAGCAGGGAGCTGGATGGGCAGGGGAGCAGCTGGACCTGAACCAGTGCCCATTTGGGATCCTGGTGTTGGCAAGAGAAGGATTAGGTAATTAAGCCATTACACCAGGCACTACTTTCGTTTTTTTTTGTTGTTGTTGTTAAATTTCTATTTTGGATTTTTGAGTTTTATGCTACAATTTTATAGAGACTGGGATTCCCCTCACCAAACTTTAGCTTTTAACGAAAAAATTTTTTGATGTGAATGAACCAGACAATTGCCCAAAGGGAAGAGATTGGAAAAGGAAACCTTTATAGGATCGCCAGCTCATCTCTAATTTATGCTTTTTTTTTTAATTGGAAAGACAGATATACAGAGAGGAGAGACAGAGAGGAAGATCTTCCGTCCGATGATTTACTCTCCAAGTGAGCACAATGGCCGGTGCTATGCCGGTCTGAAGCCAGGAGCCTCTTCTGGGTCTCCCACGCAGGTGCAGGGTCCCAAAGCCTTGGGCCATCCTTGACTGCCCTCCCGGGCCACAGGCAGGGAGCTGGAAGGGAAGCGGGGCTGCCGGGATTAGAACCAGTGCCCATATGGGATCCCGGGCATGCAAGGCGAGGACCTTAACCATTGCACCACCGTGCCGGGCCCTAATTTATGCATTTTTTAAAAAGTTTTATTTTGGGCCTGGCGCCATGGCCTTGCCTTGAACGTGCCGGGATTCCATATGGACGCTGGTTCTGATTCTGGCAGCTCCACTTCCCATCCAGCTCCCTACTTGTGGCCTGGTAAAGCAGTCGAGGATGGCCCAAGATTTTGGGACCCTGAACCTGCTTGGGAGACACAGAAGAGGTTCCCGGTTCCTGGCTTTGGATTTGCACAGCACTGGCCATTGCTGTCATTTGGGAAGTGAACCATCAGATGGAAGATCTTCCTCTCTGTCTCTCCTCCTCTCTGTATACCTGACTTTGTAATAAAAATAAAAATAAATCTTTTAAAACTTATTGGAAAGTCAGATATACAGAGAGATGGAGAGACAGAGGGAAAGAGCTTCCATCTGCTGGTTCACTCCCAAGTGGCTGCAGTGGCTGGAGCTGAACTTATTTGAAGCCAGGCTGCAGGAGCCTCTTCGAGATCTCCCAAACAGGTGCAGGGTCCCAAGGTTTTGGGCTGTTGTCTACTTTGTCCCCAGGCAACAAGCAGGTAGAAAGGAATTTGTGCAGCCAAGATATGAACCGGCACTCATATGGGATCCTGGCATATGCAAGGCGAGGACGTTAGCCACTAGGCCATTGTGCTGGACCCTAATTTATACATTTAAAAAAGATTTACTTATGTATTTGAAAGTCAGAGTTCCAAGAGAAATAGAGAGAGAGCTATAGAGGTCTTTAATCTACCGGTTCACTCTCCCATATATTTGCAATGAACAGGACCGGGCTGTTGCAAGTTGACCAATTCTCTCCCGGAAATGAGTCAGAGTCTGACTCTTAGAAGCTCAGGAGTCTTTCTTCACTGGTTGGTACAAAGCAGGGGACTGTCCCATTCTGCCACACGTGGAAGAGAGAAGCAGCCCCGATCAGCAATGATCATCCAATCACCTAAAAGAGCACTGGCACAAGATGCCAACCATTCAATCAACCGAACTTATGTCAGGGCACCCACCCCTGAGCAAGCAGTGGAACCAGGCAAACAGGGCCTTCCCATTCTGTTTACAGAAAACAATTTGGGTCGATCAGATTACTGTATCTCTGTGGAAAAAAAAAAAGCAAGGTCTCATCCTGGAATGAGATAAGCACTCACACTTCTCCAAGGGAATGGCAAAGGTAACGTTATGGACAAGTCCCAGAAGTGCTTCAGAAGACCTAGCCTGGGCCTGGTTCAGGGGCCTAGCGGCTAAAGTCCTCACCTTGAATGCGCCAGGATCCCATATAGACACCTGTTCCAATCCCAGCAGCCCTGCTTCCCATCCAGCTCCCTGATTGTGGCCTGGGAAAGCAGTCAAGGATGGCTCAAAGCTTTGGGATGCTCCACCCATGTGGGAGACCTGGAAGAGGATCTGGTCTCCTGGCTTCGGATCGGCACAGCACTGGCCGTTGCCGTTACATGGGGAGTGAATCGTTGGATGGAAGATATTTCTTTCTGTCTCTCCTTCTCTCCGCATATATCTGACTTTCCAATAAAAATAAATATTAAAAAAAAAAGAACATCTAGCCTTACTGTCACCATGTTTTATTGTTTGGGCTGTCACAGGGCCAGGCCGAAGCCAGGAGTCAGAAGCTTCACTCTGGGTTTCCCAGGGGCCCATGCTCTTAGGGCCATCCTCCGTTGTTTTCTCAGCCT